TCCTCTAGAAAAGCTGCGAGGCACGTGGATCCCCCAACATCCAGAACTAAAAGAACTAAAAAAAAATCGTGGTTTTCCCTTTCGAAAGCTCCTCGAAAAACAAGCTAACAGTGGTTTGGGGCCACACAAGTCAGCAAGAAATTTTAGACAAACCGTAAAGGGATGGCTTATCTCGGTGCTAGATTCGAAGCAACTTTCCAGGTCTTTACTATTACAAAATGGAAAAATTACAGTTCGCAATCAATAAACCTGGGAAAATGTGGGTCGTGAAAAAAGCTCAATATCAGGAGTGTGATATACAGCGATTATTCAAAAGAAATTACTTAAAAAAGTCAAGTTTTCTGAATTTGAGAACAGAATCGCCAAATAAAGAAGCTCCCCTCCCGTTGCTCCTGCCGGTGAATTGACCAAAATGAAGTCACCAGAGCTGACCAGCGTACTTTTTTGACTAAAATTTTTGCCTTGGAGCCTAATTTAGCTTCAAAAGCTAGCAAAAATCGCCTTTTGTTAAAAAAAAAAACTGCTCAACGCATTAATCCGGGCATCGCTGCTCATCCCTGTCATTCTCAATCCCTTTCGTCAGCCGTGCCAAATCCCGAACATGCATGAGCAAGAATATACTGCAAAATCTCTTTTTTTTTTCCCGGTGTGAAATGCAAAATGAACTAACACTGTGGACGGCAAGTTCCAGTGCCGTTTGTCGGCCAATGCCATCTGTTGAACCCGTAATCAGTATTGTCCTCTTAAAATTATGGTCTCCAGCCATACTGCAAAAATATACTAAAGGATTAATAAATGGCGAAAACCGGTACTAAAAAATCAGGCACGTCGAGAACCACGTCGAACACGTAAGTTCAAAAACATTCTGGATAAGAATTAACTACACGCAGGTAAATATAAAGACACTCATATGTCCATACATATAGATATCTTTGGTGCGTTGAGTTCCTGTAGCATTTCGTTTATTTCGTGAGCACTCCTAGTAACGACAGCAATAAAACGTAAACTGTTTCGGGGACTAATGTTCAGAGCACCTTTTCAAGCTAATTTAAGAAGCACTCTCTCGAGAGACAGGCCGTGAAAAGCTTGGCGATAAACAGTCTTTTCGACCCCTTCCCATGCATTCTGACTGGAACGGAAGAAGTGTTAATGCAGGCGTAATCGGGCTGTGTCTTTTACAATTTTCCCATCAAATCGTTCCTTCGAACCATCGACTGCTTCCTCTTAACCGAAAAAAAAAAGTATTTTTTGATCTACCTCT